CTTTGCTCACCATAAAGTCTCTGTGGCTCAGTGGTAGAGCATCGTAGCGTGGAATCTGAAAGTTTGGGTTCGGTTCCTCATGGGAACTCAGAATTTTTTCTTTGTCCCACGTTCGTGACCAGACGAAGAAAAATCTTTCTCTAAATATGCAATATTTGGTCAACTGTTATGTTCTTTAGCGTGTCATAGGCCTGATTACCTTGATGACTGTAACAGTGTAAATGGTACTGATTTAATATAGCGAACCAAAAAGAGAAAAAAAAAAAAAGAATCAGAAAAAACCTAATCGCTCAGAAAGCAGAGGAGTTTTAGTTAACTGTATTCCCATTAAAACTACTGTTACAGTTGTAGCGTGAGTCGTTCTGGTTGATTGACAATCGATAAATATAGGATCACGTCTTTCGAGATGAAAACCGCTTAAATTAAGTAATGTCGGCCTAGCACACTTCTTTTCACTCGTGATACTTCGTGCCTCGTATGGATCTTCGTGCTCCGAACATGACTCGTGCGGAGAGGTTTGGTAACCGATCGATGTCGCTGTATTCAGCGGAAAGGATGTATCTCAGGACAGTGTTTGAACTTGCCATCAGAACACTCTCTTTGACAGCTTTGAAAGAATCAAAACCTAAGGCTGTATGTTACGTGCTTTCTAACACTTTTAATGAGTTTTCAATTTTCTCTGCCGATAAAACAAGACCCGAGTGTCTCAATCTGCCGGGGCTTCTCTCGATTTCTGACGCATATGGTGATTATCCAATGAAGAGGATGCTCGTTTCAGCCCCCTCCCCTCCCCCTATTTTCAGTTATACACGAATCACGTAGCAAATCATGGCTGGGTTGTTCAAATCTAACTTAAGATAACCTAGGAAAGCTTTCAAATAATATTCTTTTTGTCTACAACTTGATGCTTGGATGCTCTAAAAAGAATAGAGGAAATTATCTGAAAAAGGCTTGTGAAGAAAGAAATACAGAAACCCAGATTAACTCTTAACCCTGGGTTAGTGCTAATCGGCTTTCGAATAACTGGACCCATATCTCTTAATACACTTTATACCAATTGAAGGTTTCTCATCATTTGTTTCAGGTAAGTGTTGGCGCTTGGTGCTCAGAACCATGACCGCAACACAATACAGAATGTTCTCAGTTAACAATCCGTGGTCCAGTTCTCGGATCATCGCAGGATTTATTTTCACATCTGCAATTCTCCTGATAGTAAGCTTTTCCGTCATAGGCTATAATTCCTGGCCACGACTAGCCTATGCATCGACCAGCCTGAAACATACTATACCACGAACGACCAGAGGTTACAATCGATTACAACCCCTCATCGACATGTTTTACAACGCGTCAAAAGGCAAAGTGTTGAATGAACAAAGGCAAATCTCTGCCCTTGGAGATAAATGGCCATCAGTGGCGCATTCCATGTTGAATATGAGCAGTTTGCAAGAAGTCGATAACAAAGTCTCTGTTCTGTTATTGTTGATTGTTACCACGGCTCCTTCGAGATTTGACAGAAGAGAAGCAATCAGAGCAACGTGGTGGAAAAACTGCGATGGAGCTGAGGTGAGTTCTAAAAGGCCATGCAAAAAAATTATCTCCTTTCAGTTGGAAGGAGAATTCAGTACACTTAGCCAGAGAAACACAAAAGCAGGTTAAGTCTTCACGATACCCAAGTTATTCGTGAGCATGCTTAGACGATTTCAGCATATCACGGCCTTATTTGCATGAAGTGACCTATGGGACTGTCTCTCTCTTTGAGACGCTACTCACTGAGGGTAACAACAGCGTGCCGGTAAACAGTGGCATGACTTTGCTGCACTAGATCAAGGTTTGCGCATGATAGATCATCGATTTGTTACGCGTTGAGATTCCATAGTTATCGCTTCCAGCGTCCGCGGTTCCTTTGACAAGCGTCGCAAATCGAAACGCTGACCAAAGGGGTCAAGAGCGCAGGAAGTAGTAATAGTCGAAAGGGAAGGGAAATCGCAGATGAGGCCATACTCAGCTTTGTATTTATCATTATTCCTTTTCCTCCTTCCTTTCTGTGCTTTTGTTTGCTTTTCAGGTCATGTGCAAGTTCTTCACCGATGGTCTCCAGTTGACTAAAGAGCTACAGAAAAATCTCTCCGCGGAGCAGAAGATTCACAGGGATATCGAGTTTATGCCATTTGAAGAAACAAGAATTTTTGGAATACGCTTCTTGTACCAGATAATGTGGGCGAAAGCAAAATATGAATTCAAGTTTATGTTACACATGGATGACGACTACTTTTTATGCTTGGAAAAACTTAAATCGGAGTTGTACCACAGACCGAAAAAATCACTAGTTTGGGGTTCATATCACTGCTCATTTAAAGACATCATTTATGTCGATGAAGCGTGGATAATATTTTCTTCGGACGTTATAGAGCAGTTCCTCTCTCAAGATCCACAAACCATTTTATGCCATCCACATAGCGATCAACAAATTGCAGTTTGGCTCAGTACTTTGTATGGCAGTAAGAAGAGCTTGATAGAATTTCACGATGGAAGGCTTCACCACTACCCGCCAGCAAGAAAACTAGACAAATTCAAGAATTTACCACAGGTTTGTAACAATTTCCTTGGAGTGCACGGAAGCTCGCCAGAAATGATAAAAAAGTTTGGGCGCAACAGCGCTGATAGGCGTCGTATTTTAAAACTTCCAAAATTAACTCGTATAACGGAGACGTGCCATTTTCCTAACGTGTTTAACATCTCTAAAGTTGCTGGAATGTATCAGTTTGACTTGAGACCGTGTATAACAAACCCACGATGGACACCCGGTGAAGGAATGTGGCGTGGTTCACAATGAGATCAGCAGCAGAAAAAGATTAGCATAAAGAAGAGAAACTGCATCGATCTGACCGCCGAATGACTCCGTCTTGTGTCACATAACCAAAATCGTCCTTCTAAAACGGATTCATTTAACAATAAACTAGAGGAGGAAACTCAGATGTAGTGCATACCATTAACATCGCGTTCTGCTAGGCTTGGAAGAGGTGTTAATCATGTATTATGTTCGTAAGAGCAATTTGTAATGGAGTGTCGCAAGTTACTCGAGATTGCACTAACTCTGCTGTGATTGGTCTAGAAAACTCACGCCACCCTCTCAACCAATCAGATGCAAAACTTTAACCAATCGAGACTAGGTTTCTCGCGTTTTCCCGCCCTTCAGACAGTAGGCCCATTTTTACCTTGAGATTTCATTGGCTCCTTATGAGACTTTCCTTTGTTCTGGTGGGCTGTTGTGATTTCTTTTCCACGAATAGCAAGTAGCCTCTATGACTGCGTCTGTTTCTGTTTACAGACCCAGCTTCCCTCGATTTACAACTCCTCAATTTGAATTAAATAATAAAAAATTTACCTCGGATGAAATTCAAGTCAATATATGATCCTTGAAGGGTAAACTTCAATTTAGGCAATTTCAGAAAAGAAGCCTATCAAAATTCCAACTTCGAACCCCCCCTCCCCCCCTTACCCTCCCAGATACTATAGTTGGGCGTTACTACCAACTGAGCTGAGCTACAAAGCCTCATGTTGAGAGCAAGGGAAATTTTAGTGGGTTCTTCTTTCCCGTCAACAGAGGAGTCCGGCCTGTTAACTCGACGCTGAAAGCGGCATTAACCATTCCCAACGCCTCAGACCGCGGCATGAAATTTTTATAATAAAATAAAACAAAGTCAGCATACCATTTACTTAAAAAAGCAACTCTTCAGTTTATGTCTAGATGTTCACGTCATGGAGTCCTTCCGTACGTGCTCTATAAAAAAATTGAAATTAGTTCTCATTAAATAACTGGAGAGAAATTGGTTTGAATGGATATTGGAGGGCCAAAGTAGTTCTACTTTCCTTTTACTGATAAGAAATATTTCCACTCTCAGATGACACTATACTAACTGAAATAACGTATTTCTATCATAAAACAATGCTAGTGCGAGATGTTTTCACCAATATGGTAGGAAGTTTCTGCGGATCAACTTTGCTAGACTCCAATAATGATCGAAGAATTAATGATGATAACCATCTACTTTTAACGGATTTGAAAACTAAATATATCTATGACTTCAAATAATTTAAAAACCCTTCAGATCTAACCAGACATTCGCTATTTGCAAAAGCTGTTAGCAGCTATTATAGACATAATGATGATGGTAACAAGGGTATCATGTTACTCCTGATCAAAATATTCGCGTCTTTCTAACGAATTAATTCACCGGTTACCTCAGAAATTTAAATGACGATTGGTTAGTTTGCATTTCATGAACTCGTTCATCAAAAGACACTATTGTTAGCTTTCACGACTTCTCAGAAATTCCCAGGGCGATAAATGCCACAGATCAATTACAACTGCACTGCAAATTTCAGACCCGGGAAAGGAACTCACACAATAGCATAGTAATCGTAACATAATACCTGAAGGTGGTCAGGAAGTGTGAAGTTTTTCACTGGACTTGAAAACAGTAATCGCCAGGCGCCATGTTTTAAGAAATCGTGGCAATCCAACCACGGTGGAGACTGGATCCAGTGAGCAAAGATGCACAAGGTCTCCTCTACCACCTCACCCTAAGGAAAAACAACTCCGTGTTCCGAAGTATGGGAGTTCGCGAGTCTCCTTCGTAATCGTTGTTTGATCTCATGAGGACAAAAACTAGTTGTGAGGTTAGTCCAGACAAATTGAATATCTTGCAGAGAGTGCGAACTCTTCTTTGTTTATTCACTTCTTTCCTCGATTGTCGCATTCTGGTGTGAGTATTACAATAAATCCGCAACACTTCGTAGCCGTGCCCGACCTCATTTAAGAAACAATGTCAAATTTTCTCTTCCCACTCCCCACCCCTCTACCCATCCGTTTAGCTCCACCAAGCTGTGCTTACCTTCCTCTGGGGAAAGGTTAGCAAAGACACAGTCTTTTTTTCTCTCCTAAACACAATTATATCCAATAAACGAATAAAGAAATACTGACACACACAAAAGAAAACCAAAGTAAGAAATTAATTTTTATTTTTCTCAATCTCTCTCATTTTACAAGCTGCTACAAACAGGAACAAGAATAACATGTCTAAAGCTATCTTAACAAGACCCTTCCCCCCATACCGACAAAGAATCACAACAAATCCCTATGAATCAAAGGAAAAAAAGTGTTAAACATTACAAATTGAATTTAAGAACCCTCCTTAAGAGCTGAAGTGAAAAATTGAATATACATGAATCTAGCACCCCTATAAGTTTTACAAATAAAACTGATTGATCAACCTTATTTTTTCAACAAATCAATCAAATCTGTAACCATATTGAAGGGCAAAACCTTTGGTCAATTCAAATTGTCAAACCAGATGTGACAACAAATAAAACCCCAATTTGAATTTACTTCCAAAGTAATAGAAGAAAACCTATTGGTTTTAATTATTAACTTGCTTAAAAACCACAAATCAAAGAGATGATTCATTAACTTTGAAAAGAACTTTTTAAGCCCTAAATTTCCAAGAAAGATCAGCTATTAAAGTAAAATAGATGAACTGAAAAAAAACCCTTAGGAGATCTGAATACAAGGATCAACAAATATTAAATTAAATCTAACAAGAACAGTAGATGTAGAGGCAATAAGATGTCTAGCACCCAAAGCACATATTTCAAATTTTTAAAATACAGAGGCCACCCTTGCCTTTAATCCTTTTCACCTAACAAAAATTAAGTAATTTGTGCATCAAATCCAAAAAAAAGCAAAGCATAAATCAAAATGAAAAAAGAAAACAGAAAATTCCCAAGTATATAATTCCAATATTTTGAATTTCCCTATTTAAGTGATGGTTTATCTACAATGCTAATGAAACAGATCCTAAAATGTAGGAAATTTTGATGTTTTCATACTAGAGAACGAAAATTTCAAAAAAGGAATCCTTCACTTTGATTAGGCAATATGTTACTTTTAAAATGTTAATTGCATTGGAACGTGTGCACGTACAGCTGCATGTACATAAAGGTCAACTGACTTGAGTTTGAGATGACTTAGGCATGATATGGAGCAACCTGTAATCTGACAAGCTTTTTTTGCACTGCCAAAATTTGAGTTCCCACCAAAAAAAGAATGTGTGATCACAGGTTAGATTCAGATGCTCAGTTAGATGATCTTGTTTTAGCAAAAGATACTCTGAGGTGATTAGATTCTGTGATTTTGTAGTTGTGCATTTTCTGTTGGATGGGGAGAGAAAAAGAGGAAAATTAGTAAATCTACAAGAAGGAACTACTAAACAGTTCTATAATGCACTTTTCAATACAATACATAATATAAAACTCAACCATTTACACCCTAACATCAGTATGCATATTCTCCATACTGTTCTCTGTACATTTCCAAAGGTGCTGACAAGGAGAATTTGTTAAAAAATCAAGAGCTTCTTCAGCTAGTGGTTATTTATCTTATTCTCATGACCTTAATGTTTCATTGAGAGGTGATTTTCTAAAGGGAAATTAGATGCTAGTCACCCTCAGGGGTTGAAGGATTAACAGCCATTGCAGGGGTTTCAATAATTTTTTCTATTTATGAGCAGTTGCAGATGGTGTAATAGGCAGCTGTGCCCAAGAAAGGGCTGTAAGGAAAAGCCCAAACAAAAGAGCTTGCTCACAAGCTAAACAAACTGCAGCATGAGGTCTTGCAGGAGGCAGTAGAGTGCTTGTAACCAGCCGTTATTGAAACCCCTGAATTTTTATTGAAGAATGGATTATGATACACAACACAAACCAAAGAAAAACATTCCAAACAAATAGGTGGAAACAATGCATGTAAAATTCAAACATCTGAAATGAAAAAAATCAGAGTGCTAAATAAAACTTACAATAAGAGCATCAATTGCCTCTTCTATTGTTGTCATAGTCACCAGGGCCATTTTTCGGTCTTTCCTGAAGAGCAAAAAAAGAAAAAAAAAGTGCCACTAATTACAACTCAGCAAAACATTACACAAACTAAGCAGCATCTTGCCATGAAAATGAAGTCACAGAACTTATGACACATGCACATACATATGTATAAATTCCACCATTACACATATTTTATCACTTACGCAAAGAAGCGGAATTCTGTTACTGTTCCAGAAACAGAGAAAGCATCTATTAATTCTTCTTCTGTAGCTGTGTCACTGAGGTGAAGATTGTAAAAAAAAAGTTATTCTCAAAATTGTTAAATTCCTATGCTGACTACTTTTTTTTCCACAAACTAATTCTGTAAATAGAGAAGAGAGGAAAGTGTTCTAGGTACTCAGCAGTTGCACAGCATGCAAACATTTACTTACGGTATATTTGATACATGAAGTGTTCTGATAGGAGGGAAAATGTTCTGGAAGTTTTTGGATCCTGGTTTCTTGAAGCGATGTAAGGGCGAATTGGTGAAATCTTTTGTTAGATTATTTTCCTAAAAATGCAAAAACAACATCTTCTTAAATACTTTCAAATATCATCTGTGAATTCATTAGGGAAACCTGATATTGATTACCATTATAGAAAGAAAATTATTGGTCCATCTCTTTCAATTCAAGTACAGCTGTAAGATTGTCCTGAAAGAACCTAAATTTTGTAACAATGACACCCACATAACTTTAAAGCAGCTAAACCATTTCACTTCCAATAGTTATTCTCTTTACTGTCTTCCATGCAATTCTCATGATATAAATTTGGTATTGGATCAACTAATAATCCCCTAATTAATATTTTTCTTTATTTTCATCACTTGCCTGCTTGGTATTGTACTGATATTGTAATGAGAAATACTGTCCCTAATAACTAATGGGAGTTAAAGGATTAAAGAAAATGATAAAAACAGGCTGTCTTACATCTCCATCCTTTGGCATGGAAACATAGGTGTGTTTTGACAAAGTCACTTTGATTTCTTTTCCATACATAGAGACTCCACTCAGATTTCTGATTGCTGGAATGGACAACGAGAAAAGCATTTTCAATTCACCACCAAAACTAATCCAGGATAACATAAGATTTCACTGAACTTCACATTATATTTGGTATAAAAGACTCCTACCGCCTTCTCAACAAATCCAATGCAAAACTATGTTGAAGACCAATCAGCACTCGGTCACTAGAGTCTAACCCTCCCTTGCCACTGTTTGCTTGGTTTTACTTTGAATTCCCATTAGTTCCTTCAAATGTTTTCTTTTCTTGTTTACTATGGTTTTGGTTTGATGCCATTAATCACAACGCATTTAGTCTCAAAACACTATCATTACCTGTCTGAGCTTGTTGAGGATCGTTAAACTGGATTAGAGCTGTGTCCTTCTTGTTAAACAGAATCTTTACACGGATTACGTCACCATAATTACCTACAAAGTAAAATATAATGTTGTCTTTTCAAGTAGTCCTTAGGGGTAAATTAAACAAGACATTATAGAGAATAACAGATCCCAAGTTCAGAAGGTCATATCTATATTTCTGTTTCGGGGTTGTAAATGACTACTATTTTGTTTATATGGGGTGTTAAAGCAAATCAATAGATGGAGATGTTTACTTTTTTTAAGTCAACATAGGGGTACTGAATTATCAACAAGTGCATTTGTGAGTCATACACACACGCATACAGAGAAGAGATAAAATTTTTATCTCCACAGTCTTAATTTAAAGCAGAAACTGTTGCAATCACTGCAGATACAGCTTATTAACCCTTTCACTCCCAGAACTGAACAAAAATTTATTCCACCATTCAGTATCAATGCATTTCAAGTAGAAAGGTGATTGGAAGAGGGAAAACTATCAACTAAGGGATATTGTTTAATTTACAGTGTTCTCTCTTATTTTAAGCAAAACAGGTAAAGTAAATTTCCAAACCAGTGGAGCAATATTTTTACCCGTTGAATATTCAAGAATTCTAAGGGTAAATTTAAGGGGGTAGTGAGAGGCATGACAGGCAGTAAATTAAACCAGTTACCAACTGAAAAGGAGAATAATGATCCAGCACTAAATTCTCAGAGCGAAAATAATGAGGAATGTGTGACAGACAGCACAGAGGATTGATAATTACACCATGGGAGTGAAAGGGTTAACTTACATACATAGGTCTATAAGTGCAGCATACTAGTCAAATACTATGGAGTTTGCAGAAAAAGTCATGGTTTGTAAATAAACTTGCCAATACATGGTCTTGTAGAGTGACCCAGAAAAGAGTTAGAAGCATTAGTTATTTGATGAAACAGCCCAAAATAAAACAAAACATAAAACTATAAAATGATAAAACATGAACAAGCTATATCAATATGGAGATTTATCACCAAAAAAAAAAAATTCTTTAACCATGGAAAACAAAATGAAAAAGGAAGGCTTAGGATGACAGAGACTTTGGCAAAAAGACATACCAAACAGAGTGAAAAGCATGTCACAGTTTATCTTCTAGAAAATGGATTCCAAGTGGCGTGAGTAGCGGACAGCAAGAGAGAGAAGGGGGTGACCATCAGTCAGCACCGCAAACACAGCATGGAAGGGGAAAGAAGGAAAAAAACAAAAGATGAGTTTAAGTTTCAGAAAATCCAGGCTGTAGGTATAGCTATAAGAGAAAGAAAGAGGTTAAGACTCAAAATAAAACAAGGAAATTAAAATAATGTCTGTTATTTACATGTAGGAACAAGGAAGAAAACAAAATAAAAAGTATAGCAATGAAATGAAAATAGACCTTGGGAATGAACGTTCTGATAATGTCAAGAAGAAACATTATTTTATCTCCAAAATTCAGTTATTCCATGGCATGACAGCATAAATGATATGAGATAATTTTGAATGTTCTTTAGCTGAGTATTAGAATTACAGGTCAGGAGATTGCTCAGGACCAACAAGTGATGTACTTAAATGATAAAACCAGTCATTAAGCTGTAAAAGAATTCCAAAGACACATTTAAATCAAAAGACCTCACACTATTCAAAGGTTTTTGGTCAACATTTAAGGTAATTAATGACAGCAGCCATTTAAGTGACCCAAGTGGATGATTTATCTGATTTGTGGCCTACTTTCAAGAACTGTGCCCATGAATCAGTAAAAAAAAAAAAAAAAAACCTGTAAGAAGTTCTCTTTTGGTCACACACCATGGTATTAAAAATACCACTTTACTCATTAATGCATTGCTCCATACAATGCAACCCTGATTGATAGAGCTTGAGCAATAGCTTATGAAGTCTCTACCTCTTCATTTAAATTGCTAACAAGGACAACAGGAGACCCTCCCATGTTCAATCCTCCTCTGCCGCCTGTGGCACCAAAGAAACCTACAAACAAAATCATTTGAAATTAGTTCATAGATAAATAACCTATCAGCTAAAGCTTCCTTAGTATTGAATATTCTCCATTCTGTTCTCTATACATTTGCCATGGTACTGACAAGGAGAATTTGCTTAACAATCAAGAGCTTCTTTATTTGGTGATCATTTCTTTTATACTAGAGACCTTAATGTTTGATTCACAATCAGGGGTGATATTGTGAGGAGAAATTAGATGCTAGTCTGTCTTAGAGGCCAATGGGTTTAAAGTAAAAAATGGAAGCAGCAACAAGAATTTTAACTAACAATGTTAGAAATATATAAATATACATGAAACAGTTCTTCTTCAAAATGATAATGGGGAGACTGCTTAGCAAGTTGTTCTAAAAAGCATGGATCAACATTTTTAGAGAAAATGAGATGATATCATTGTCTTCACTGAAACGACTTGTGCCTCCACTCAAGTTGTTTTCTGAGTCATAAGTGATCTGATCTCGTATATAATCACATCATGTTTTTCTTACTTGCTGGGAGTAATCCTCCTTGAGGGAGAAGACTCAAAAGAGCTGGAGCTCCCATCAGACTAGCACTTCCAGCTGCACCACCAGCTGAAAGGAATAATAAAAATTTAGCAAACCTTGATGAGGAAAGATGAAAAAAAGGTGCACATTTGTAAAGAGGGGAAATACTGATACATTCTGTATGCAGATGAAAATGTTTTCTTTACCAAGAAACATTGGATGTATTAATGATAAAGAAGGAACTCACTAAGTAAACCAGCAAGATCAGCTCCACTAAAAGGGCTGTCATTGGGACCTGAGGGAAGATCAGGTCTGGTGTAATCTCTGCACAAAAAAAAAATTGTTCAAGATAGTCAACTCAGTAACAACTTAATCAAGTCCATTCCTTATTCAGTGAGGCAGGATGTAAACAAGGCATAGTTTAAACCAGTCTATGTGGCTGTTTCTAATGAGTGGGTGTGTGCCTAGGCATATCAGGGGTTGGAGGGCACTGCAAACAGCTGCACCTTCCAGTACAGATGAGAGGAGGTAGTTCATGCCTTGTTTGCCATGGCAAATAAATACGAGTAATGACAATTATACAACTCTTACTTGCTCTTATCATTGTTGTATTTCACTGTCAACGTGGTCAATTTGGAGAATTCAAGATGCAAGGTGCAGCAGCCATTGTAAATATTTTGTCCATCAAGTGTCTAAGAAGGGGAACAAAAGCAAAGCAAAATTCAATAAATATCAGTGTCACTATAAGATAAAACAAACCCAAAAAATAAAACAAATTTTGACTGATATACTACTTACAACTTTTGCCAGCTCTGCTTCAGTAACAGTGGTGAATTCTATTAGCGCCTGAAACTGACCTAAGAAGTGACATATTAAACAACAGAGTTTACTTATAAATCAGTCATTACCATACACAAATACATAGGAATTCTATAGCAAATATAAAGTTTGATCCAGTAAACAAATGTTACCTACCATTTTTTGTAAAGGTCACAATCCTAAGAATAGTCCCTAAACTTGAAAATATCTGTTGAGGAAGCAAAAATTCTGATCTCAGAAACTGTCAACTAACAAATTAGTTAGGTAATTAAGTTATTTTTGATGAAAACCTAAAAACAATCAAGATTGGTTGACTACATTTTCCTATTTCCTGGTTTGTAGTTTCTTTCTCATACATAATATCTAAAGTACCATTCAAAAATAAGTTGACACTCTCCACTTGAAACTATACCCTAAAAATTATTGAGAATCAAGGATCAAGAATCGAGGATTGAGACACTTGAAGAATATTTCGAGGATCCTGATTTGCAGTTTTAAGAACATAATTTCATTCTTGCACTCCAAAACTGGCTCTACAATATTTCCCTTTATTCTGATTGGATATGATAATTACTTCATTGAATAATTTGGTTTTAGTTTTAGGAGACTCAAAATTAAAACATGTATTGAGTAAGATACTATTCCTCAATGTTAAAACACAACTTAATGTACCTTGTAGAGGACTTCAACAGTTATTGGATACCACAACTTGTCAATCACTGCTCTGATAACATTGCTTTTATTTCCTGTCACAACTTTGGCTGCAGCAGCAGCAAGAGCACCCTGTCCATCTGCTGAGTAAGGATAGTCTCCACCAGCTGCAATGATTTTGGAAGTCTGTGGCAAAAAATGCAAAGCAAAATATATGACTGACAAATACAAAGCTAAATAACCAAAAGAGTCTCTGGCTATTACAAGATGCTTACCCCAGACGAATGCTGAGAGGGTTCTGTCTTCAACTCAGGATGATTTGAATACTGCACATATACCACTTGACCTCTAGCAATAATAAAAAGAAAATACATAAATGTGCTGATATAACTGACCATGGCTTGAGTTCATATTTAGTTCTATTAATAGACATTGTTTCTGTTTGTATCTTTTCTATGAAATCCAGACTAATCTATCTAGAACATAATTACTCCTGCTAACTGTGAAGATAAGATGGGTGATGTTTCAAAGCTTTCTTTGGATATTTCTCCAAAAAATTGCCATAAGTTTTTGTGATCCAAGGAATTGTGTATATTTCTTTATTCTTGCATGTCTAACCTACATAGTGGAAATATCCTCCTCCATGCTACATGAATCACACCTATGATTACCTATCAGGCCACAAACACGATATTCTGCTAAGGGACACTACACTGCTGTTTTGGAGACAAGTCAGGTCATTTAATATTTTTCTAAAAATCAACAGTCAATCAATTATCAAGGGCTTCATTCTGTGCACCCCTTAAATTTCTACTTTTTCTGACAAATGGGGAGAGGGGCACATCTATGCTATAAACTTCCTCCTTACTACACGGTTGACTCATCTGCTACAGTAGTAGGCACCTTGAAAATAGGACAGATACTTTACCTGATGGTTGGTGATATATGTGAGTAATATGTGAGAAAGTTTGCGGCTGTTTGTTTGTCCTCCATTTCAATAAAACCCTACAACAAATATTTACCAATACCTGTTAACATATTGAAGACACAGTTGGGGTTCAAATACACCTTAAGTTTACGTAAACCGCAACAGCCCACAACTAGTAAAGGTGATACCAAAAAGTGAAAGTGGTTATATCATTGCCTAACATTTTACAACCTGACATCAGTATTCAAGTTCTCCAAACTATTCCCTATACATTTCCTTTGGTAATTACAAGGAGAATTTATCTAATAATCAAGAGCTTTTTGAGTCTGCAAAAACTTTCTTTATTCTCATGACCTTAATATTTGATTCAGAGGTGATTTTGTTGGGAAAAATTAGATGCTTATCACTTTTTAGGGGTTAAAGGGTTTATAGAAAAATCATCCATCAAAATCTTACCTGTCGTTTAGTTTTTAATAAAAGGACATTTTTTACTCGTCCAAATTCCAGTCCAAGTGCAAGAAGCTGTTGCCAAAAAAAAAGAAAAAAAAATTATATATATTATTATGCATATCACTGCAAATTAAACCATACTAGGCAAAAGACAGAATAACAAAAATGACAGTTAAAACTGTGCATACCTCTGTATCATTAGCATCAACTGGTACATTTCTAACATGGATCACTTTTGATGGAGCATTTTCAAATCTTGCCTAAAGGAGACAGTTAACATGAACCAGTAAATTCAAAGCTTTGAATCATTTTGAAGACCAACAAAAACAAATAAGTCATGAATATAATTAAAGATATTAAGGTTAATAAATATTCAGGGTATCAATTTCTTGACAGGCTCAAATAAGTACAACACAAAGTTTGAGATCAAATGACATTAACTCTGAAATATCCAAAATTTAGGGAAACTGGAATACCTCAAAATAGTTTCAGACACAAGATTTATCACATGAAAGGGTCTAAAAAAGTATTTTAATTAAACATAAGAATCTATTATTAATGCAGTTGATTTAAGTTACACAATCATAAGTTGGGCAACTCCTCTATAGGGTTGCATGATTTACTAAACATAAACCAGCTTTGAGATAATTCATAAAATGCCCCACCAAAAACAAACACACTTAATTCAAGCATTGATGTTTTTTTAAGCACTTAAAACATACCTTTTTCTGGTCCCCCATAAGGCCTGAAAAACAATTTTAAAAACAAAATAAATTTATCAACTTCCTGTGATCAACTATGATCTCTTGTAAAGCTTTGTTTATTTTAACTCTGATGAAGACTTCTGCCCAAGTTGTCCCAACAACTATGTGACAGACAACAGTCTTTTTAAATGCTACTCTCACCCTTACAACGAGACTACATGATAGACTATTTCTCCTGGGTTCAACCCAGTTAACCCTCTCACTCTCATGATCTCAATTTCAATTCCCCATACTGTCTCCTACATATTTCATAAACATTTAGCTCTGAGAATTGGGTGTTAAATCAGACAACCACTGCTCATTGATCTGTTTCTATCTTCTCAACACCCTTCTGCTCAAAACTGTATAAAATTGTAGGGGGAAATTCTGTTTTGGTCACTCCTGGGAGTAAAAGGGTTATTGTAAAGCTCTTTAAATGAGTTCCAGTAGAACATAGTGGTTGGGGTAATGACTAATTTAGCAGAAATTCTACACTTGTTTTCCATCTATCTTCCAACAATTCACAATCAAAGAGAATAGAAGAGAAGGATTCTAGAGTAACTGCAAGGGCATACAAGAGAATTTGTTAAAAATATTCCACATTAGGGGAAGTGGGTATTAAAAAGGGAAGAAAGCTGACCTGCTATGCTCAGTATATCTTCAGCTGTACGCTGCAAAAAAGGGAGAAAGAAATGATACAAGTCAGGCATCATAAAATAAACAGAACATCAAAAAAACCAATATCAATTTTGACTAGCTGTTCAGTATCAAACACTATTATTGTATCAGCTGCTGAATCTAGTTAGCACAATGCATGAGTTAAATGATAGGAATCCATATTTTCAACTTTGTCTTTCAAAAAAGTACAAAATGAAGAATTATGTCTAATTAAGAAGGGATCTATAATGAATACAAGAGTTGTCTTTAGAAGTGGCCTGAAAGCAATCATCACTAACATTTTATTCAGGTAGTTTCAAAATAATTAGGACTTTTTTTTTGTCAGCCAGACAATTGAATAGTTGTCGCAAAGGAACTAACCTAGGAACTTCATCTAATATTTACTTTTCAAAAATGATTGCCTCCAGCTTAGTGAGTGATTCGGCCTAGGTTTGTTTTAGGGAGATCTTTTGATGTCTTAATTTCATTCCACGATGAGAGTAAACAACCCTAAGCAAAATTACATCTCCCCAAAAAATTGCAAATTATTTTACATCTAAAGTCATTTTCCGCAAGGAAAACTTTTAGTACTTTCCTTGCGGTATCCCGTTTCAAACGACCGCTAATTTATTCGCTAATGTATTGCAATTCGTAGAATATCCAGCTACATCATTGTGTAAACAATTATCATCGGCGATTATCGAGACATGTTCCACCCAAGAGAGCTCGAATTTTCTGCAACTTTCGGGGAAACGTGCCTCATATTTTGGCACACCTTTAATAATCATTTCAGACAAAAGGCGAACGTGATACTGTTATGGAAAAATAGAACAAAAACACCCTAAAAGGTGCATTAAAAATTCATAAAAAACAAAGAGTCATGGAGATACTTCACGAGCTTAAGAATGCTTTTCTTTCCACGATTAATTTCATCCGCAAGAAATATTGCTGCTACAAGGGCGTGTGAACGATTTTTTTCAGAAACAAAAGAATTTCCTTCGTTTGAAAAAGCTAGCGAAAAGTTTAACGCAAATGTAGCGTTTTTGGGTCGTTAGATAAGCTTTGTCAATTACCAAACAGTGACTAATTGATACCACGCAAATCGACGGCCCATGAGCGAGGTAGTAAAAAAAAAGCAGCAGGAAACAAGACTTCAGTTTTATTTCCTCGGACTTCATTTCGTGAATTCTAAAACATACGAGGAGTCTCTCAAGGAAGACAGCAAATAGATAAATATTACCAGTTCTGATTCTTTTTAAATGTAAACAATCCCCTTGAAGAATTAAAATTGTGTCGATTTCATGAGTAGATGCTACTGTGGGTAAGGGCTTTTGCGCCGTTTCACGAATGAATTCTGCGAAAGTCACGAAAACATATCTTACAACAAGGTTTCAAGCATTAGAGAGTCATTCCATAAGTTTCCACGGAAAAATACGACGAAACCATACCTTTGTAGCCTAAGCGAGATAAGGAAATCAACATTAATCCCTCTGAAAACAAAACGATAAACGTAGTCTAACCGAAAGGGACCGCAGATCGAGAAATTGATTCTTGCGAAAAAAAATATTTTGATGTCGTTAAGCTTTTCTTTTATCAATAATAATAAGGCTGTATCTCTTACTCAACATTCTTACTCGAAAGTAATCACATCGACGGAAGTTAAAAACCCGTTGTCGTTTTCGCAGTCGATTCATTTCACTAACCACAGCACATGGCCTCGACGCGCAGGCCAGCCTACCTTCGTTCCTGTAGCAGAGGGTATCCCAGCCAAAGCTGCGACACTGGTCATATTCTGTTGGAAATAAAGCGGAACAAAGAGCGATCGAAACTTGCACAAGTGTGAGAAGTCACTTCTAAAACGTCAATTTCAAAATAAGGCAAACCTCGAGCGTTGCTCAGTCACAGGAACAAGATGGCGGGTGATTGGAATTTGCAAATAAAAACACGTGAGGCACTGTGGGATGGAACTCGTGAACATGAACCAATAGCATCATGCAATTATTTCACGTGACTGAAATGCCATTTGAAATGTGGCAAAACTTTTATTGTTAGCTTTAACATTTGAAGTTATTATTATGACTTCTTGTTATAAATAATTAATTCCTGGGCCACAAAAGTTGCCAACATCTCTGCGACCGACCTCACCTGCGTTTAATTTCTACCAAAAAAGCATCCCAAAAACTTTCAACGCAGTTTCCCTTTCCTTGATGATCAACAATACCAGCCCCTGAGTGTTTTTTTTTTCGATATTTTCGATCTTCATGACGTCCTTGTCCTGGAGAATTTTCTATATAGTACGATTGAGCGAAGAGAATTATATACCATTTCAATCTAACAGTGGGCAATTAAATGCAAATTTGTCGAGCAATATTTTTTAACGTAACAACATTGAGTAACTTTTCTTACTGTCAATTCCGATAAAAGTTTTTTTTTTTTCAACTCAAAAAAGAAATCAGAGGTCAACAAGGAGACATGTCAAGGCCGCGCTGTTGAAGCAGAGATACCCAAAGGGCTGTCTAGTATTCTTGCGTGTTTTTAAAGACCGTCCTAGAAACAAGTTAGCAGGTGGCCACGAAGGACACTGACCGCGCTACAGCAATAAAACAGCGTGAAGCAGACATGAAAGAAACATGTGCACGTTAACAGGTACCATGAATAAGAAACTGCAGTGACGACCTCTGACCAAAAGGCCGTTTGTACCCCAGGATAATCGGCTACAGACCCGTCAAAGATGAAAAAAGTGATACGTACCTGGGTTTTTTCTTTCTTTTTTTTCAAGTCTTGGGGGCGTCTATGGCCACAAGTGAAAAAAAGTGATACGCACCTGGGTTTTTTTCTTTCTTTTTTTTCAAGTCTTGCGGGCGTCTATGGCCACAAGACTTAGAAAAAATATTTGGACTGTGCCACTTTCTTCAATTTTGAAAGGTCTGTACACGATTTTCCTACGTAGTAACACAGCCATATAGATGCCTTGCAACTTCCGCCGTCACCCTCCCCCTCCTAGAAAGAAAGAAGTACTAGAAAAAAATCACGGTGAAAAACACGGGTCCCATCCTTGCATGATACGCAAAGTTCACACTAGTAACTTCACACTTGTAACAATTCGGGATCCATACTTCTTTTCTAACGGGTCCTTACTAGGTTTTTTTTCTGCATTGTGAACGGCACTCTATCGGTAGAGGGGTATTAGAGTAGAGCACCACTCTTGAAAAAAAATATTTGCAAGACAATTCTTGCAAATTTAACAAAGCTCTTTCACCCCACCCACACCGAAGTTAAATGTTTTAAAGCTGTTTTGATGAATGCAGTTTAAAATGATTTTCTTCGTAGAAGTTGCTGAAACTCATGTTTGTCGACTTCAAAATTAAACACAATAAAAATACAAGTGCAAGAGTAGAGTAGTGCCCGGGTCGCATCTACTTGGTTTTGAAGGTGAAATCGAAGTAGGGTTGACAACGAAGATCGTGCTCTTTAGCTAAGGTAGACATGGCGAAATAAGAATCACCCAAATTTTATCAAATGGATCTCAAGACACAGCTGGGTCAGGTTCATTGTGGAGAACACAAGACACGATTGCATTGCTCAGTAACGTTGTATTTCAGATAAACGTAGACATCTTAGAAGACGGCATGGGGAAAACGCGCGATAAAAGCGCGAGAAAGTGAATTTCTCAGCCATCAAAAAACCTTGCATTTCTCTTCATCTCGCCAGTCAAAACTTATCAATTCAGACACTTATTCCCTATCTTATAAGTCAGTGTCCTCTGAGGTTTAACTATACTGCACTTATCCAAGTAACTCCGGTCCGCTCTTAATTAATAATGGAATCAGGTCGTTCATAATGTAAAAAGGACTGAAGAAAGGAAAACACACGCTGAATTTGCCAGTTAACCCACATTTAATGACTTTTTTTAATTTCTACAGATACTCGTACTAGCTACGTTTTGTTGATTAACATATCTGTCCCTATTCAAGCCGTATTTATCCTAAAATAACAAGTATTACAGTTTGTATTCAACTACTTATTGAGAAACATCTAGAAAGAAAGAAAAAAATCCTTTACTGCCTGTTTGAATGAACTCGATAAAAGTTTATTACTATATATAAGCTAAGTTATAACACTTCCCCGATTCTAAGGTTATCTAATGTGCTTTTTTTTAAGTCGGAAATGCAAGTCAATAACTTGTTCATCACGCGCCAAAAACATGTGACTTTATCCACTCAAGGAGGACGCCAAGAAAGCCACACCTCGCTCATAAAAGCGGTGTTCTCGACCAGCAGCTTCTCCTCTGGTTGTCATGTCGACGGTGAAGAGGAGCTCAGTTCGTGTGTGGTTGAGGTACACGGGGAGGGTGACCTTGAAAGAAGGGAGGGGAGGGGAGTAACTGTTAGCAAGATGTGCTCACTGATGACACTTAACTCTCTGAGAGGCCGATTCTATCCAAGGAAACAGACGATTTATAAACAACTATTAAAGCTATAAAAACCTACTTTAAGTTCGATTCTGAGCCTAAAATGGTTCGTCGACGAGAGGAGAAGGGTGGAGACCAGGCCAGACTCACTCCCTCGTGCTAACGTCACTTGTATCTCGTATTAGTCTGATTTGATCTAGATGGGGAGGGGGTGGGGGAAGTTGGGTGGGGTGGATGTGGAATAGGGTGGGGGTGGGTATGGGGGAATGGGGAATGGGGAATGGGAGAGGGATATGGGGAATAGGGAATGGGGGATGGGGATGGGTGGGGAGTATAGGGGATGGGGGATGGGGAGATGGGGAGGTGGGGAGGTGGGGAGGTGGGGAGATGGGGAGATGAGGACTGGGAAATGGGGAATGGGAGGAAAGAGGGTCATAATTGTGACGAACGAACAAAGAAACCTCAGAGAGAAATAGAAACCTGACACTTACTTTTCCTACTTCAAGGTTTGCAGATCCTGGTTCAACTCTAAAAATTCGGAAAGGAAAATAGTGTCAGGGCTTTCCTTAATGCCAAGCAATGAATATATTTACTTCAATCGATACGCGGACACAAATCTACTGCCTAAGTATACGTTAAAAACAACTCAATGCTGTTGCTTTAAGGGTAGGTATGCATCCTGCATAATATAACTGGAGAACTCACTCTATTTCCTTTGCTTCACAAGAGGCACGTACAATGAAGTCACACGAGTTTCACGCGATCTACGCAAACCTCGTGTTTCGTATGTGGAAACGAAGGAGATCGCGTGACGAAAATTGGGTCAAGTTTACGTGATAACCACCCATCGAAAGGTCTCTTTATTAACATCATCCGCAGTGAGCTTTTGAAACCCAATGCTTCGAAAGACCAGAAACTTGCGTTCAGTGTCCCATGGCGCGTTACGTCAAGGGCATGCGTAGAATTACCTCAGGTGGGTCACGAGGATATCCGCACCAACAAGCTGTTTTCACGAACAAATTGTGGGATATTTGATAGTCAAATGATTTGGAGGACGACCCAAAAAGTTAGTTCTGAACTCATAAGGGTAAATGCAAAGAGATCAATCTCAAACACGATACCTGATCCACTTGAGACTTGTCAGTGCGAGGTCTGTTGAAATTGTTGCCGTTAGCTCCAGCTTGTTGTCTTGGCAACGGGCACCTTGAAGCCTCAAACCTTAACAAATCAGTAACAAAGTAAAAAGTTGTCAGACAGGAAAAAATGTTTCGTTATTTCGATTTTGTTGATTAAACCTTCTAATTAGTGAAGAGATAAACAATAGAGGTATTTTCAAATCAATCTGCTACTTTAAACTGTAGTGTCTAAATAAAAAATAGGACACAAGTGTCCAAAATCCATATCGGACACCAATGCCTAAAATGAAAAAAATCGAACACTTGAGTCCAAAATAAAAAGTCGAACACAAGTGTCCAAAATCCAAAATTAATCAATAATATCTATAATCAAAAATCGGACACTACTGTCCGATCAAAATCGGACATTTATGTCTAAAATGAAAAATCAAGCACTAGTGTTTAAAATGAAAAATCGGACCCTAGTGTTTAAAATGAAAAATCGGACCCTAGTGTTGAAGATCAAAAAGAGGACATGGTGTCCAAATCGAAATTCATACACTAGTGTCCAAATCTAAAATCGGACACTAGTGTTCAAAATAAAAAATTGTACGATAATAACCAAAATTCAAAATCGGACACTAGCGTACCAAAAATTTAGAAGATCGAGCTTTTCAGCGTGATTTTCAATCTTTCTTACCTTTAATTCCAAAGCTGCAGTCGTCAATAGTCAACCGATCGTTAGGACCACTGGCAATGGTGACCTAAACAAAAGGCAATTTGGTTTTATCAGCTGAGTTGATAATGAAAACTGGCCACAATAGAGCTTCTAAAGCTGACGTTTCGAGCGTTAGCCTTTCGCGTGAGCAACGAAAGGCGACGAACGATTAAAACAACAAACGAGCACACGAAC